TTTTCTTATTTACGAAAAAAATACAACAGTAATGAGATTTGAACGGGTAAATTCCCAAAATATTGTGTTTTTTTTTAAATTTACCACCAACATGGTGGTTTTAGATATATTTACATAGATATTGTGTTTTTGTAGAGAAGATATGCATTTCCGCGTCAGATTGATGCGGACCCGCATAATTTGTATTTAGGCGCAAAAAGTGCGGACTCGTGTGGGACTGGTGCGGAGACGCAGGGTTCTTGTTAAAATACGCTGACAGATTCCCTAAACTTTGACCAGCGGACCCGCATTAGTCTCATGCGGATTCGCGGTCTTTTTTGCCCCACTCCAATATATATATCTTCCTCCATTCTCTTCCTTTCAGTATCACCACACTAACTTTAAATCTGAAAAAATCATATGACTCTTCCACCACGGTTAGCAACCCGAAATATCATTGATTCAAATATTGCACATCGAATTAAACTCTTGAATGTGTAGAAGCGGTGTAGAATTCTTAACATAGACTTAATTGTTATAACTATCATAAAGTAACGATATGTTTAAACACAGAACTTTTGAGTGAATATGGGGTACATGTGTCTTTAAGAGGGGTAAATATGGAAAGGTTGAGGGACGTTGGTTTGCTGAACTCGGATGGAAAAGACACTACTAATGTAAACGGGCCCAAATAGTGTCCCGACCCACTAAATGCTCAATCATCGCCGTCTCTCCAAACTTCTCATCAGACTCAACAACCGGCTAACCTCCTCTACCTCTATTGTTACGCCATAGCAATTTTTGGAGGGGTAAATATGGAAAGATTGAGTGTTGTTGGTTTGCCCAACGTGGATGGAAAAGGCGCTACTAATGTAAACGGGCCCAAAGAGTGTCCGACCCACTAAACGCTCAACCACCCGGGTTACTTTCGCTACACCTAATATAATAGTGAAATGAGAAAGGTGTTTCCCCCATTACAAAATCCTTGCATCCATAGAACAAGTAGGAAGGGTAGATTCATCTTCACAATCATTTATTATTTTCTTATTTACTGGAAAAATACATAAGTGATGGGATTTGAATTGTGATCTCTTTGAGAAAAGACAAGAAACATAACCCGTGGAATTTGAATTGTGATCTTTTTGAGAAAAGACAAGAAACATAACTAGTTACACTAAACAAATTTGTCTAAACTTTTTAGATTAAAAACATACAGGAAGCTTAAATCTGAAAAATAATAGGAATCTTCCATCACAGTTAGCTAAACCACTAACTCTCCCCTAAATATTTTTTTGGTATTTGATACATCTATTTTCATACTTTATTATTTTAATTCAAGTTTAATAATTAATTCTATTTCTATTTATCTTATAAAAGGAGAATAAATTTAAAATCGCAAGCTAATGTCATTGGTGCAAATATTGCACATCGAATTGCAGTATTGAATGTGTAGAAGTGATCCATAATTCTTGACATAGACTTAAATAATAGGGTAATGTCTACTTTTTATTCAAACCTTTTTCAGATTCTTTTGTATTCTCAAAATCTATCGAAATACTAAGAATTAGCCAAATGTTGACTTCCAGTTACCAATTTTGTTAGTAATATTGACTTGACAACATGATACTAACTTGGAAGAGACACATGAAGGTCGACATTCCAAAATTGTAGTATTTTAACTAAGAAAAGAGTTACAAAATTATTAACGATAACGTAAAAATGACTAATATTTTGATGCATTATGAAAGATTTGACTAATTAATAAAATATTAATAGGTTTGGATAATATAAAAGAATGTGAAAATAGTTTGGATATAAAATAGACATTACCCTAAATAATATAACTACCATAAAGCAATAATATTTTTAAACACAGAATTTTTGAGTTTATATGGGACACATGTGTCTTTAAGAGAGGGATAAATATGGGACACATCTCTCTTAACATCATTTCATTTGGTTGATCTTCTAGGTTAACTTTTGAGTTGATTAAAGATAAATAGTGTCCCGGCCTACTAAACGATCAACCATCGTCGTCTCTCCAAACCTTCTCAACGGACTCGACAACTACCTAACCTCCTCCACCTATATTGTTACGCAAAGCAATTTTCAGAGGGGTAAATATGGAAAGGTTGAGTGTTCTTGCTTGGAGAGCTGACTGATGGGTTATTTAGTTTCTTTTACAGTAATGTGTGCTCTCTTAACATCAGTTCATTTGGTTGATCTTCTAGGTTGACTTTTGAGTTGATTAAAGATGAGTAACTATATTTTTTGTTGCTTTTGTTATGATACTCCTTTTCAGTATCACCATTTTTCTGGTTTGAAATGTTTTTATGGTTAGTTTCCAGTAAATAAAGACTATTTTGATTAGTGTTAACATAGGGAATAGCTTCAATTATACCACTTTTACTCAAAATTTATATGTAAGAGCTGAGATCATTGTCGAATTGAACTATTCAAACTATAATGATGATCTTCAACATATAAAATATGGTTTCTTTTGAGTAAAACTACCTGATGATTGCATATAAATTTTTACAATATGATATTTTGTGATAATGGTCACTTTGCTTGCTTCCAAATTTAAAAGTGGGGTTCTAATTACTACAATATAAAAGTACGAGTAATAGCGATAATTGGAGCAGATACAAGATGGTTTGATATCCTTCTCTCTCCAAGGAATAAATACATGGTGAACACATGTTGTCATGGGAAGGACAAATCGAACGCTTTGTGTTTGTAGTATAGCATGTTGATATATACGCATGTCTAGACCCGATCGATTGGACATCTCCACCTGGAATTTATTGACGGGATATTTGCTCATCAAATCCGTGTGCCAACTGCCAAGTAAGCTCCATCCTTAATCCTTATATTTTTCTTAATCTGCACATGCAAATCCTCATAGGAAACATGTACATAATTGTAATTTGGGTGCTTCATTAGTGTTGTTTTCATAAGATTGTATCCGAGGGGTTGTTCTAGAATTGTGAATCGTGATTGTATCTCCTCTAAGAAATTGTCAAGTTAAACTATAAAAGATGCTAACCTGAGCTTCCTCTTTAATTTATATGGTAAGAGAGCAATGACCCACGTCAAATTGATTGGGGGTTTACAATGTCTGAGAAACGGTTTAGCCTTCTTCAGAGTATCACAAGATCCTGATAGTATCTCAACCAAAGCAATTTTTGTTTTTATGCCTAATATTGATACAAGTTGTTTACCTAGAGGAGAGCCCCTGCAAGTTAGCTCTTGGAGTTGCGATGCGAAAATGGGTAAGGCAGAAATGGTTATACAAAAGGCCATACTATGATCATATAGAATGTGTTGGTAGAGATAGTCATGAATCTCATTTTATTGACGAAGCCACCGAGTAAAGGAGAGGAATCGCCATTGGTACTCTAAATTTTACAAGGCTATTATAATGATCATTCCTTTCATTTCATGTAAATTTGTATTATGACTGAAGTGATATTATCCCAAGACACAAATTGCAGCAAAGAATGGTCGTTTAAATTAATGTGCACTAATGCAAAATGCCATGTAGCTTCCACGAATAAGGAGTAAGAGTGAACCAATCAGTGTGTTTGTTGTCGAGAAAGATAAGAATCGTGATAATGAGGAGGGTTCACGACGATTGACTTATACAGATTGAAGAGATAGAAAGTTCAAAGTTGTAAGTCATTTGTGTGTTTATTGTAACAGAGTGGTTAGGAGTGATTTGGTAGGATTTCACTGTGATATAGAGATATTGACAAAATTATTATGTGTTGGTCTGTTGGTGCTTCTAGGCATATATTGCTTGTCTGTTTCTTTTGTTTGTATATGAGATTTCTACAGTAGATTGTATGCTTTGTATTTCTTTTTCTTTTCTGTCATTTTAATTAACAAAACTATTTATCAGAATAAACTGGCTGACGCATTCCATCGACATGATTTGGACATTGCTGGTTTTTGTTTTCTCAACCAGCGATTAATTGCCTTTGGTGTCACTGTGGTTTTTTTGTCTATGGGCAATCCAAATTGGGTTTTTCTTATGAAATCTCTTGGTGGCTTCCACTTTTACCCAGTGTTCAAGAAGACGCGATTAATCTCTCGCCTAGGCGCGATTAATAGCTGGGCAGGAGGAAATTGCCCCGTCTAGTGCTGGGCGATTGATCTAGGCACCTAGGCACTCAGAGGCGTGTTTTCACTCTGGTGGGCGACGCCCAAAACAACTAATAAATAGGGAAAGTGTAGCCTTTTTGTGAAAATCTCAAACCCTATTCTATTTCCCATTTCCATTCGACCAACAGCTCCCCCTCATCGACAAGCAGTGAGATCCCTCCTCATGGTTGGCGACTTGGAATGTTTGAGATTGTGGAAAAGGGTTGTATGTGTATATGAATGGATGAACAATGATATTGTGACTTGGGGTTTTGTAGAATATGGCTTATCTATCAGTTTTTTTCAACTTCTAATCTCGCCTAGGCAACGACTAATCGGCTTGGGCGCTGGGCGGTGCCTCTTCGCCTAGATAGCGCCTAGCGTCTTCTTGAACATTGCTTTTACCATCGATAATTGGAGTCGAGTAAGCATTCCTTTGGTTTTTTCATGTTCACTCTTGTGAAATCATGGTGCATGACAATAGTGGCTATATTTAAGGCTAATGGCTTGGTTTGAATTGTCCATTATAGTGTTTATGTTTTACTGTTTCTTTTGTAATGTAATGAGATAATCACTTTCCATCATATTATTATATATGGTATTGTTGACCTACCTCCGGCCATCGCCGCATACATGTTAACCGGTAATATTAGTTAGAATCAAAAAGTCAATTCGCGATATTACGTCCGACCAAAGTGTCGGGTGATAAGCTAGTTATTTAAATATTGTGATGGATTTTGTAATTCTACCCGATATCCGATTTTAGAGTTAAAACCAATCAAAATCGATCCAACCCATTTACACCCCTACCAACAAGGTCTCAGAATTCAGAAGGGGGCGTTTTAAGTTTTAAGTAACCCTATAAATCAGGTCCAAACATCCCTTACCGGGTTGCTTCCCTAACTGATGCACAACGACGCCGTGAGGAAGACTAGTTAACCTCTTCACGCTTCACGGCGGACGACAAACTCCTCTTTTTTAACCGTTCCCATGGAGCTCACTCTCCCGGCTGGCATTCCTAGCTCCTCCACCTTGCGGCGGCTCAGAATTCGTGCTCAAAGACACACGCCGTTGTCACGGATTCAATACTCAGTCTTCCCTGCAACCCCGAGAAGAATGGACGGACAGTTATTGACGTCAAAATCCACAACCCCATGGGCCGCCGCTCCTATCGGCGACAGCGGCTCCTCCTCCATCTCCACCGCTTCGCCGGTAAAGCCAGGTAAAGTTTGGTTCTTGGTCTCTGCTTTCGCTTGTTTTTCTCTGATGGATTCTGAGAACTGGGTTTCTTCTGTTGCAGTTGTAAGCCGAGTTGGAGAAGTGAAGAGGGTCACCAAAGAGACCAATGTTTCTGTGAAAATTAACTTGGATGGTACTGGGGTTGCTGACTCGTCCACGGGAATCCCATTTCTCGATCACATGTTAGATGTTAGTGAGCTTCTGGAAATCACTTTGCAGTTCTGCGACTTCCCTTTTCAATTTGGTCCGCTGCTCCATTTTCTTTAGCCCTGGATTTGATAGATGGTATTTCCCGCTTTTCGATCGATTGATTGTAGCAACTTGCGTCGCATGGTCTGTTTGACGTACATGTGAGGGCAACTGGTGACATTCATATTGATGACCATCACACCAATGAAGATGTTGCTCTTGCTATTGGAACGGTCAGTACTTGCAGTTACCTTCCCCTTTTCATTTCTCAGTCTTCTGCCTTCATATAGCTCACCACTTGTAACTCGCCACCATGGATTATTGATTGAACGAAAGTTAGTCTGAAGGTTTTCTTGGTCTCTTTAGGCTTTGCTGCAGGCTCTTGGTGATAGGAAAGGAATTCACCGGTTCGGGGATTTCTCAGCTCCTTTAGATGAAGCATTGATTCACGTTGCCTTGGTATGTTTTCCACTCTGGATTGACTGAAAACCATGAGCTTGAGCCTGAGTAATTTTGAAATGTATAAATGTGTGTATTTGCACATCGTGTGTGGAAAGCAAGAGTGAAACCGGCAGAGGCAAGAATTTGAGAACTTGGTTATGTGGTGTATAGTTTTAAGGTTATTTGAGATAGCATAGGAAGCTAAATGTTCGACAGTTTCATTTACAGGCATTTGAATTGAACTAGAAGATATTCTGACAGGATCGATGTGCATTATATTGCTTTAGGATCAGCTCTTGTGCACATGTTAGCTGCAGCATTATGAAATGCTAATGTGCGGTTTCTCTTGTTCTAGGATTTATCAGGGAGACCATATTTAGGCTATGATTTGCAGATTCCCACTCAGAGGGTTGGAACCTATGACACTCAGGTGCTGCGATTTCATTTCTTTCGTCTCATTGCTTTAATTTGTGTCCTGAATGTCTATTAGATCACAGCACCAAGTGGGTTTTGATCATGTAATTGAGTGCACATCACCGTGCCTTTCATTATGTTAACTTTCTAACTGATGGTTTTGCTTATTGCAGTTGGTTGAGCATTTTTTCCAGTCATTAGTGAATACTTCTGGTATGACACTTCACATCCGACAGGTGAAGACCGTTCTAAACAATGTTAGAAAGATAAATTAAGTGCATACTGTTCTCCGTTACATTACACACTTAAGGGCATTTAAATATAACTGGGTCTGAAATCTTCAGCTCCTGAATTTGCATTTCTGCAGCTTGCTGGAAAGAATTCACACCATATTATTGAGGCAACCTTCAAAGCTTTCGCCAGGGCTCTTCGACAAGCAACAGAACCTGACCCACGACGCCTTGGGACCATACCAAGGTCTGGTTTTACCCCCCAATCTCAGATAGTGCCTCTGCTGAGTGCTGAGTTCTTTCAACAAACAGCAATTTCAATTAGTTCTCTTATTGATTGGTTGACCCCACTGATTCTACGCTGTTGGATGCTTCTGTGTACAGCTCAAAGGGTGTTCTGTCGCGTTCTTGACGAGTTCATTGTCATAGTTGAAGCAACAAATGACTTAAAGTTGGCATTGTGGCACCCTGAAGCGCTGAATTTGCAATGGTTGGTGGTTATTGGGAGACTTATCCGCAATCTGAGCATGCTTTGGGATCAAGTACCAGCCAAAGTGCAACTCCAGCCCAGCTACAAAGACTAGCTGTGTGGTCGAATATGAAATCATGGAACTTTCATAGGATTATTGTTTGTCCTACATTAGAACTATTTATGTAAGCGTATCTTATAGAGCTTCTATGAGGTTTGAGATTGTAAAACAAATAGCAGACTTTTTTATGTCATTCCATAAAATAGCATGGTTCAAGAAGGCAAAATAGACGTCACAATCTGACGCACCAAATCATTTCTGAAATCATGTACAACCTTTCTCTCCAATACCCACACTATGGTAATCACAAGGAATATAAAAACAAAGCTGAGCTATTTGTAGGGTGAAGTATATTCAATTCTGCAAATTCACAAATCCAATAAAACACCAACAAACAGACGATTTCAAACTGACAAGCGGCTCACCATTTTCTTCCTTGCCATAAACGAGAGATAACAAACACTTTCTTAGATCAAGCATGAGCGAGCCTCTTCACTATTGTGGCCATATACTTGCCCTGGTGTTCTGCAAGTGCCAGCTCGGTTTCACTCGGTTGTCTCGAACCATCACCAGCAAAAACTCCAGCACCATATGGTGAGCCCCCTCGGATAGAGTCCATCTTGAACATACCAGCACCAAAGGTGTAGCCCACGGGAACAAACAACATGCCATGGTGAGCCAACTGGGTGATTGCTGTCCATCTGAATAACAAAGCAATCGAAATTCAAAACACCGAGCATTACCACTACCAGAAGATAAAGTTCGTTCAAGCTTTTAGAATAACAATTCTTGCATAACTAAGGAGACCATGATGCAATGTTTTTTACAGATCCATGAGCTCTATCCTGAATTGTGCTTGAAAAGGGTAAACTTTCTTGCAATCCAACCATTATACATTTAAAGTTCGAAACACAATTTGCTACACAAGACAAAATAAACGCATTTGTTTGCGGTTAAAAAAGTGAAAGATGTGATGAATCCCATATTCCCTAAAGAGATGAAAGAACCCAACTTTACGTTTCCATTCCGTGTTGGAACTTTTGCCAGTATATAGTAAGACGTATAGATGAAACATTATCCGTTAGGTCAGTGCCTCTTTTCACAGGCAAAAGCGTCAGTCTGCAGTAAACTCAAACACTCAACATTCAATTTGGCAAATGCAAGTTTATCATAATCTGTTTATGTGACGTGAACTGTTAAGCTTCTCCTCAGTTCTAGCAGCTAAGAGCTAACTGAAATCAGCAAACTTGAACCCACTATAGCTATGGAACATAGACATTATTTCAGGAGGACTAATGCGTTTGAGATAGCAAAGAAGCTAGATGTGTCAAGTGTCAACTCAGCTTCCTTGGCAACAATTCTTATTCTCTGATTCAGAATAGATAAAAGTTCTATCCTAAAAGTTTCAATCAGATATGTTGCAGCAAAATGTAGCACGAAAGAGGACGTAGAATGAAAAAATCTTACGCCGTGGTTTCTTGACCGCCGCCTTGCGTTCCGGTGCTAACAAAGAACCCAGCTGGCTTCCCGGCGAGCTTCTGCTCATTCCACAATTGGCCGGTGGAATCGAAAAACGACTTCATCTGTGCAGCCATTGACCCATACCTCGTGGGGAACCCAAACAGAATCCCATCCGCACCAACCAATTCCGCCGCTGTTATCTCCGGGATCGAAGGGTCCTTCGGCGGCGCCTTCATCTGCTCCAAAACCTCGCTCGCCAGCGTCTCCGGGACCCGATACAGCAGCGCCTCGACTCCTTCGACTCCGTCCACGCCTGTCTTCATCCTCCGAGCCAGAAACTCCACGTGGCCGTACATCGAGTAGAACACGATGAGTATCTTCAATTTCGCGGCGGGAGGAGGTTCAATTGCGGCGTCTGCGGCGGCCACGACATGGCTGTTGGTACCGGCGTGGTTCTCGTCGGTGGTGTTCGTCGAATGGGCCGATGCGGGGGTGGTTGCGGTGGCAGCGGCGGTGGAGGGGGCCGGCTGAGGAGGATTGTCGGCGACGGGAGGTTGTTTCTTCTTGCTGGGAACACAGCCGCCGCCCTTCCCCATTTTGGAGGATTAACAGATCTCCGGCTACCCTAATTCGGAATCTGGGTAATGGAGAATCCGCCACAACCTGCGGCGAATTTCTGGATCCGGCGACTTGAGGACAGGAGATGAATTATGTGGGGGAAACTGGAAGTTGGTGGACTGGACTCGACTGGAGAAGAAGAAAAGAAACGAGTAGTTCTTTCTTTTTCCGTTCTTCTCGCTGTGTGTGTGCGTGGTTTGACTTTGACAGAAGTGCCACGTGCGACGTACCAATCACGACGGGTGAGAGAAAACGACGCCGGAGCCTGCATTTTGCGTCCTGCGCCGGCTTGGTAGGCTCGCTCCTATCATGATGCGACAACTGGCAAAGCCAATAGGGACTAGGGACTAGGGAGTGGCGGTGGATGGACGCCGGCTGGCGGGCTGGGCCGATTTTGGTGGATTAAGAATTTCGGTTTGATGGTTTAGCCCAAGGCCCAGTCTTAGCCCAACGATGCAAATATGTGGTCCAGTTGAAATAGGATGATGGGTGGAGCCCGATTCAGTCTTTTGATGCTACTATTTCCGTTTCAGAAAACGCTACCATTCAGGTTGGGAAAGAGGTGCAAGTGGGGTGGTGCAAATGGGAGTAGTAAACATAATTTCCAACATATTTGCATTCGTTTGGTTAATTTGTAAGCGTAGGGGTGCAAAACGGGGTACAAATTTACTGTTTCGGCTTACCCTCGAATTGGGGTGCAAGAGAAGGAAAGAAAAAAAGGGAGGGGATGGGAGAGAGGGAGATGGGAGAAATTATTTTTTATTTTTCTAATAATTTTTTTAATTATTTCATAATTATATAATAATTAAATTTATTAATTTTTTTCTTATAGTTATCATTAATGTAGATATGTTCGGGGTTGACCGTTAGACTCCGAGAGCAAGTTTATTGATGTTCGTCTAGTCAAATCGAGATCTCTTGGTTGACTCGAATTTGTGTTAGAAATTAAATATAAGAAGTGTTTATGGGAAATGTAGCAAGAAACGGTTCGGTTGACTTAGTTTATTTGACTAAATAGCTAAAACTTATAGATTCGAACGTGTTTGACTAAGTTTGACCATATTAAATTTAAAGTTAAGTTATACACGAGAACCATGTAGGATGACCAATTACGAGTTGAGCTTCAAGGCCGATCGATCAATGATTATTACCGTTGTTATAATCAATTATTATTTTAGTATCATTATATAATCATTATTTTCTTAAATTACATTTATTATTTATTTTATTATTTTGTAATAATATTTATAAATTTGATAAATCTATTTTTTAATCATATAATTACTCACGTTTCATTTTATTTGCACCCTACTACTTTTTCATCCAAACAACAATTTACCGCTCCACTTGCACACTCACCAATTTGCACCCTCCAACAATTTACCCCTCAACTTGTACCCTTCTCGAATTTGTACTCCCTTGTTGCCAAACATAGTGCCCCTCGCCGCACTTCACAATTCTCTGCTACGAGGTGGAAGTAATTTTTTAATTGTCATGTCACTCATTTAATTAATGGTGATGGTTGATTACTAAGTACAAAAAATTTAATAAGAATGAATGGCAAGTGGCTAATGATGAACAATGGCGAATCCAGGGGTGGCCAACCCGGGATGGCAATTTTGACCTTACCCGATTTACCCGACCTGTTTGGCCTGTTTTGGGGCGGGGCGGGCATGGGTACCTCTTATCGACCCGACCTGCCCTGACCCGCCCCATTCTTGTCTAAATTACATATAATCTTAGTCAAATTACTTCGAATTTTCCTCTTATTACATTATATTTTAGCTATAATAAAGTTGTAATTAAGTGAAAACCTCAATTTTTTCAATAATTTAACTAGATTTTATCATATTATGGTTTCTTTCTTGGTCTTTTAATGACAAAAACGAATATTTCTAATGTTTTTCACATAAATTACATATCCATTGGCTCGACCTGCCCCGACCCGCGCCCCGTAATAAATTACCCGACCTGCCATGGGGTGGGTATGGGTATCGAGATACCCGGCCCGGACCTGCCCCATTGTCATTCCTTGACTTGGGTCAGTGCTATTTTATAATAAGATTGTGTAGAACTAAAAGAAAAATTGTTTAGATGAACATATTCAAATCACTATTCTAAATAGCTTAGAAGTTTTAGACTTTTCCTTTGAAATAAAAACATAAACAATGAAACCTAAGTCTAAAACATAAAATACTAAAAGAAATATGAAGTTTGTTCTCTTGAAAAATTAGGGGAGAAACTAGTGTAAATAGGGATGAACACACAGTACAAATTTATAAGTCAGTTGATTCGTCTAATGTTGACATTGTCCGTTTTAATGGCTACTACGGAGAGGACCTTTTCAACAATGAAAATTGTGAAAACTGATTTACGCAACAAAATTAGGAATGAATTTCTCGTTGATTGTTTAACTATTTTATTTAAAAGAGAGTATGTTATTGGTATGGATGAAGACTCTCATTGTTGATGAATCCACTAAATTAAAAGACTTGCCCTTCTTAATCAATCACACAAGCAGTAGCAATAAAGGTTTATATTTGATTGTAAAACCAAAGCGTACCAGTAAAATATATGCCACTGCAGTAAAGACCAATGAACTATATAATTATGATAATGACTGGTATACTCCAGGAGTATAGTGATATGAGCTTGAATTGCTTCCATTCCAAGTTAGAGTTGTCCGTTCAAGAAGCTACGTCAACTCATTTGCACAATCTGAAATCTTGGCTAAGTGTTGTGACGAGTTCGGGTAGCCAACTTTGCGAGCTCGTACCTTCTAACTGGGTTGATGGAAATGAGAGGTTAAAGTGTTGTTTTAAAGATAATAACTTCCTCTACAAGATGGCAAGGGATTCGGGTGCTTACAAGGTCATTAGGGCTGTGTTTCAAGGCTTCCAAGTAGCTATCTCAAAACTGGTAAACTGCCAGGAATTGGCTAAGTCTGGAAGCATGGTCAAGAAGGCAACTTTGGAGCTCCATTCAAGGCAGATGAGATCGATTCCAAGGAGGAGCTTCATACCACATGAAAATACGTATTTCACTCTACAGAGGAGAGGCATTGGTTGATATGTGGTATACTTGGAAGTCATCGATTGAGAGCTTCCAAGATGGTGACGATGGCTGTTTGGTGACTTGGAGATTACGACAGGATTGTTCTTGTTTCCTTGTTTGAGTTGGAGTTTTATTCCTTTTCTGTTTGAGGATTGTTTGTCGAGTTCTATTAGGTTTAGGAGGTTGTTAATCGATTTATTCTAGCTAGCTATATAAGGACGTTTATTGCGTTGCAATCGGCAGTTGAAGTTTAATAAAAGAATCCTTGTTCATCGAGTATTTTTCAAGCTCTTTGATTGTCCTTGTTGCGTGGATTCAAGTCCATCAATAAGCAAGCTCAGCATCGATTGATTCATACCCAAAACTCGGTTTAATTCATGGTCTAGATATGAATATTTCACTAAAAGTACCTGAAGTATAGTATACTCCAGGAGTACACTAGTCTGACACTATAATATATATATATAAGAAAGAAGCTAATCCCCAAGTTGCTAGAGTTCCTGGCTTCATGCCCCAACTCTAGCGAAAGAGACACTTTGAAATGTTCTCCCAAGCAAATCGAATTTGAGAGAGTAAAAATAGAACAATGAAACAAAACCCTTTGATCGAAATGAGTTTCTGGATGAAATCCCCAACTCAATTGATCAAGTATCTAACTTCTGAACTCATTCCCAAATCCTCCTAAGAACTACCATGTTCTTCCTGAGGTAGGGAAACTCAAAATCTGGTAAAGGAAAAGCAGTTGCAGACCAGACTAAAAACCGAAATCCAAACAACATTAAGCCCCTACACCTCCGTGACATCCAGTCGTAGCGCCAGATAGTCCGATTCAAGTCACATCAACATGTTGGATGGACATGTTAATATTTATTTGTAAAATATCACCTTATCCTTCTCACAATTTGGATGGCGAGAGAGGATAACAAAATTGAAAACCTTTAAATTATCCATTTGTTATTGACTCTGATAACTTATTTTGTAGATTCAGGTAAAAAAGGCAATCACCTCCTAATTGTGACCTTTAGACCTGGCAAATCACGACTTAATCTTGTTTTTTTTTATAGATAAGGGTGATATAGGTTTTTTTTTTTGTTATTAGGTACTACTGAAGGGATTCGAACCTGGTACCTCCAGGTTCATGGCTAGTGGTATTACCACTAGGCCAATCCCTTGTTCGTGCAAATCACGACTTAATCCGTTGGCCCGACCCGAACCCGTCCAAAAAATTAAACATGGGTTGAAGTTTTATAACCCGAAACTTTGAGTGATTTGAATTAAAGTATCTCGTTTGGTAGAACCATACAAATGTGATATTTGGCAAAAACATAGGAATAAAACGAGTTATTTTGAAATAAGATAGGGGTTGAGTTATTTGCAAATAACTCAATTTAGAAAAATGCTGTCAATCGAGTTATTTGTATCTAAATAACTCATTGTGAGTGATTTGAATATAAATAACTCATTTAAATACTCCATCCAAACGACCACTTTGACTTTTAATAAACGAGGCCGTTTATAAAAAAAAATTAAAAAATCAGAAAAGGAACGCACAATTAATAAACGACCACATATATGCATCGTTACCAAGATAATGCCCCAAATTAAGGCGGAATTCAAGGATTGAATATGGCATTACCCTATACGTATAAATTATACCATTAAGTAATGTTGTTCTTAATCAACCAACTTGTGTGGTGGTGTTTTTGGCCCGTAACATGGGGAGATGTGTGCATGTGCTTTAATATAAAGCGACAAATCAGAGCCTGAAGGATGATGAGATCAGGATCTTTGGTCTTGTGGGAAAAGAAGGAAACATGGAAAGAGGCTGTTTCAAGAATCAAACACATATCTCCATATAACAAACAAGATATATCAAGTGGACATAATTAACGGGTAATTAACATAAATAGTAACAAATCTTTGCACTTAGTACAAAATGGTCACAAACCTTTAATTTGTAACAATACGGTAACAAAACTTTGAAATTGTATAAAATGGTCACCGCTATTTAATTTGTGACCGTTTTGTTTTAAATGAAAAGGTTTGTTACCGAATCGTTACGAATTAAATGTTTGTCATGTTTTGAGGTCGGGTAGTTTGTTCGTTAAGTATATGACACTAACCACTTGAACGACATATAAGATGT